CTGAAACCCTAAAGCCTAAACCCTACACCCTAAACCCTAAACCCTAAACCCTACGCCCTAAACCCTGAACCCTGGATCCTAAACCCCAAACCCTAAATTCAAAACCGAGAAACCCTAAACCCCAAGCCTTAATATCTCTGAAGGTGACGGCTCCTGGCATTCTGGTCCTCATGGCCATCCTCTATGGCCGGATCCGCTTTGAGTTCCGGGTTGAGTTTGATGGTTTAGGGTTTAGGGCTTCGAGCTGAAATTTAAGGGGCTCTAAACGGGGTTCTGTAAGTAGTTTAGGGGCTTAGGGCTTAGGGTTTCAGGGTCCATGTCTGCGACTGTAGAACGTTTTTTTTACGCTTTCAAGCATAGCGCCAAGTTCTCTGATGCTTCTGTGTTTGGTTTTAGCGTTTTGGCTTTCCGAGCTCTAGAGTTTTAGATGGTTCTTGGGGGTCAGGGTTCCAGGCTTAATGCGGCGGCCTAAATGATTGCCTAGACTATTTTGGGGGATTCCTGATTCGCATTATAGTATCATGGGCCCCAAAACCCTAGTCTATATTAAGGCCCCTACATTAGGGTGTTCGGGGTTGACAAGGTCCAGAGATTTTTGGGGGGTTTCGGGTGCGGAGGTTAAGGTATTCTGTAGGTTCTCGGGGTTTAGCTGTGTACTATAGAAGCCTAAATAAATACCTAGAGTCTTTTTTGGGGTGGGTCCTTATTATAATTATAGTATGACAACCCCAAAACCCTGTTGTAATTATCCCCAAACCCTAAACCCTAAACCCCAAACCCCACATTGGGGTTTAGAGGGTTTGCAAGGATCTGGAACTTTGAGGTTTCCTTTGGAGTGTGGGGGTCCATTTCAAGGGTTTGCGGTGTAGGGTTTAGGGGTTTAGGGGTTCGGGGTTTAGGGGTTTAGGGGTTCGGGGTTTAGGGGTTTAGGGGTTCGGGGTTTAGGGTTTAGGGGGGTTCACTCAACCCCCGATCCCGAACCCCAAACTCGCCTGAAGAAGTATGGGGTGCAATTTGCATGGCTTGCGACTCGGACAGCCGATGTCCGGGGTTTAGTATATCGTGCCCAGGATCAGACTGACAACGATGCGGTGTTTCGTTGGCTTCAGGGTGAAGGGGTCTTTGCTGTCATATTCGCTTGTTCGCTAATCGCTGAACTGGAGCTCCATAGCAACATCAGGCCGTGCAAAACCGTTTAGATCTTTCCAAGCTTGTGAAACCTATGTTATTTGTTCATGTCTCGCATGTTAAAAATCTCAGTCTATAAACTGTAGCCCTAAACCCTCAACCCTAAACCCTAACCCCTGCAAGTTTCTGAACCTCCTTGCAGAGGTGGCAACGTCCCGCTCCTCAAGACGCACAACCGGCACGATTTGATTGGTTTGTCGGTGAATCATGCTACGGATCTGCTTCAACAGGGTATACTATTTTAGGGTTTAGGGTTTAGGGTTTAGGTTTATACATCCTAGTATTAGCTGTCATTAGCTGTTGCCACAGTCAACCCTAAACCTAAGCCCTCAACAGTTAGTTAGCTTCGGTAGCTTTCACACTGATGCTGGCTCTTGAACCGCACCTTCACAGCTCAAGACAATGAGTTTGGACTCATGAGTCAGAGTTTCGTTGTTTAGGGTTTAGAGTGAACCCTAAACCCTAAACCCTAAACCCCAAAGGCGTTTAGGGTCTATTTAGGGTTTGGGGATTGGGGTGGGCGGGTGTTCATCTTCCGGCTCTGGACTTCCGAAGCTGGCGCAGAAGGGAACAGAGCTGCTGTGTGCCTGAGTTCCCCAATACTCAACTTTTTGGGTTCTTATAATTTAGTAGTAATCTGAAAGTTTAGCCTTATATTTCCCTGGTTTTTGGGGAAGTAAGGTGCTTCATGGCTGAAATGGCTAGACCTCGCTCGTCACCGAGGTTTACCACACCGGAGGCTGTGGCTTTGCATGAGAACGTGTCTCCCGACCGTTGGTGCGTCACTCGGTCAGACCTGATTTATTTGCGGCAGGATGTTTGGCGTGCCATCAAGTGTGGGGAGGTTCGTCCTCTTGCTGACAGTGATGCGTTTGAGCTTTCAGATGAGAAGTATGGTCCAAACATCCACACCGTGAACAAACAGTACATCATGCCAGTGACGGATGAAGCCGGCAAGGTCAGCTGGGCACTGATGCGACATCCGGACGGCTTGGACTGCCACTTGTTCATCAGCCACGCCTGGCTCGAGGGTGTTTTCGAATTCCTGTCCAAGGTGCTGCATTCCTGGCCCTCGCGCTCGCAGCATGCCTGGTGCTGCATGCTGGCCAACCCGCAGAATTTGAACATAGGTTCGTATTTACAATCTCCGAGCCGATCTCCCTTCGCGCAAGCACTCCAGGCTTCTACATGCGTCCTTGTGGTGCCCAACCGCCACTGCAGCATCTACACCAGGCTGCCGTCAAACCCAGGAGATGTGAGAACCCCAAGCCGGCATAAAACCCTAAACCTGGCGCCCTGTGGCCCCTGTAATATACACTGAACCCTAAACCCTAAACCCTAAACCCTAAACCCTAAACCCTGAACCCTAAACCCTAAACCCTAAACTCTACCAAGCCCAAAATCCTCGATCTCTCCAGTCAGGCTCTGGTGTGGTTACGAAGCCTACTGCGCCCATCAGGAGGGAAAGACCATCCTTGTGGCCAGAGCTTCTTGGTCCTAGCCCGCCAGTACCAATCGTGTGCACTTGGGTTTAGGGTTTAGGGTTTAGGGTTGTAGGGCTTCTTCTTGGTCCTAGCCCGCCAGCCCCAAAGGCTCCATGTACCTTTATGGTAGTTACTTAAGCCTTAAGGGGGTCCCTATACAGGTGCTTTAGGGCTTAAGTATCTACTATAAAGGTACATGGAGCCTTTGGGAGTACAAATCGTGTGCACTTGTTGGTTGTAGGGCTTCTAGGGGCTAAGCTTAGATTCGGCGTGAAAGTTGCAACGTTTAGTTTTCTTTGTCCGAAACGTACAAGTACTACATGCGAGCAGGTGCGCAGCCTCCCCCGCAACTCATGTTACAACTAGCTGAAACCCAAGTATCCAAGCCCTAAGGGTCCATGTACTCATATAGCATATACATGGGCCTTAAAGTACCTATATAGGGACTACATTAAGGCCAATGTATATACTATTTGGGTACATGGACCCTTAGGGAAGTATTAAGCACTCCGATATGTTGAATCATGCGTTTCTGGGTTACATAGTATATTGTCAGGAGCCAACCCCTTAAGCCATATAAATACAAGGCCCTAGGCCCTAACCCTACGATTAGGTCTTGTGTAACCCAAACGATCCTAAGTACCTATATAGTCGAATGGAAGTTTTCTATACAGTAGGACTGGCTAATGACCCCATATAAAGTAGAAGCCTAAGTCATCGATTAAGTGTCAATACTATTCCATTGGGGTTCCTGGTTATGAGTATACCATATAAAGGAGCCTAAAGCCCTATTCTAATCATTCTAGCCCCTATACGAACCCTAAACCCTTAACCCTTAATCCTAAACCCCTATACATTATAGGTACTTAGGATTCCCTGTGTGTAGCCCAAGGCTTCGAATGCGCAACAGCTGACCTATGCCCTGTTCTGGGTGAGCATCTCAGGACTCCTTCCGCAAAAACAGAGGATTTAGGGTATATTGGGTTTAGGGTTTATAGGGTTTAGAGTGTATAGGGTTGAGGATATCGGGTTTAAGATTTAGTGTGTAAAACTGGGGGTTGGGGTGCAGAGTTCAGGGTTTCGGGTTTAAAGGTTTCGAGCTACATCATATCTGTGGTCTTAATAGGTGCTACGTGTATTCCTCATGTAGTGCTCTCTTGTAACCTTCATAGTCTAGTATGCCTGCAAAGCTTATTCCAGTAGTCGGGGGTTTAAGCCCAAAGGGTCTTAGGTACTGTTATGGGGGCTACTTTCCCAAATCATAATAACAATTCCGATTATAGAAACCTCACATTCTACTAAACCCTAAACCCTACACCCTAAACCCTAAACCCTAAACCCTAAACCCTAAACCCTAAACTATACTATATAGGTACTTTAAAGGACCCAGAGCAGCTTCAGGCTGTAGACGCGCTGAGATTCTATGGAACCCCTTAGAACCGCTTGCGCAGATGTGAAGGTCGTTAGGGTTTAGGGTTTAGGGTTTAGGGTTTAGGGTTTAGGGTTTAGGGTTTAGGGTTTAGGGAGATTCTATGGAACAGATGTCGATGTCAGGCGACCTGTATTCGGTGGTGGGTTCAGGG